AGTAATTTTATTGCATTTTATGTGTTTTCTTTTTTCATGTTTACGCCGTCATTTTACGCACATTTGTAAGGTTTGAAACAATTTATCTGACCTAGTAAAGAACTTAAAAAGTCTTTAGACATTTTCTGACCCCGACTAGAAGAAAAAGTTCTGAAAAATAGTTTAGTTATCCTATTGTTTGTAAAAAGAAAACTTTGAACGATATTCTTGCCTGGAGTTCATCTTGCAAAATAGCAAACACGGCGAAGGCGGCTTAAAACTTAAGGCTTAATTTAAATCTATTCGTCGCTCAGCTTTACTCTCAAAACACGTCTTCGGGAATAAGAATTGTTGACCTTTAAATGTTTCTTTGTATTATACTTCTTGTCTTGATTGTTTGTCAAGATCTCGTTCTTACATGATCGCTTTGCCAGTTGTTGTTTTCAATCGTCCGTGAACGCGTTGATCACGCTCTACGTCCAATTTTGTTCTGATTGGTCAAAATTTGACAGGCGAGTTTATGCGGAAAATTTATGCAGCATCTTGAAACTTGTTTACTGTGACAGCTGAAGCTGACAGAGTTTTGTGTCAACTTGTGATGTTTTTAACTGTCTTTTTCTACTGGATTAACGAAATGAAATTCAGCTACTATCAAGAGTCTTCTGTTATTCATGGCTAGTCTGTCTATTGGGTTTTTGGTTGAGAAATACGTCGCCTGTCAAAGTCGGAAATCCGATTTCGGATGGCATCGATTCGTTTTCGTTTTTCACCTTGCTTGACTGAAAAGTCTGAAGCGATGTAGCTTCCAGGAGCTGCCTGAGTAATTATTGTATTTGTGTTTGTTTTTTTTCATATATCTAATTTCATGAAGCCGAGCGCAGTTTATGAGGCTATAGTTTATGCATCTTTGAATTGGGATTTGAGATAATGACCTGACCTATAGTATGAGGTTTGATTTAAGCTTGCAGAACTTAAAAAAGTCTTTAGTCGATATTTTTTCACCGCAAATAGAACGAAAAAAACGTTGCGTTTTTATTTTGGCTGTAGAAAGAAAGCTTTGAGCAATTTTCTCGCCCGAGTTCATCTTTGAAAACAGCAAACACCGGGAAGCAAGCTTTTTAAAAAACATAAACTTAGGCTTTAAGCATAAAGACTCAGGATTCTTAGAGACACTTTAATACTTAATTGTCTTCTAGAATGAAAACTGTTGTCTCTGTAAATGTTTCACCGAATTATATTTCTTTTATTGATTGTTAGTAGTCTCTCTTGCAATTTGCCTTTAATGTTTTCAGTCGTCGCTTGCAGGAGTACTCAAAACGTCGCGCGTATTAAACGCTTGTTAAGTTTACACATCGTTATAAAACCATTAAATAAAAAAAACCACAATAAATTATTTATTATGTTGAAGTGTAACTCTATTAATGTTCTTTCAAACGCTCCACAGTTTGCAATTGGCTGCCCGTTATATTCGTGATTTTGGAAATTTTTTTAGCGGTTTCGCTAAAAACCCACGCGTGCTTCGATCGTCCTGAGTATTGAGTGAGTGCAATTTATATTTCAAAACTGTGAAATACTGCATTCTGTCTGAGGTCTGTATGATAAAAACAGCGCCTCATAGTAGTGTTTCACCTCAGACTGTCAGATGTTATAGTATAAAAGGTTGGTTTACACGCCCCCAGATTTGTTAGCAAGATTTTGTAAAGCAAACTTGTCAAACGGAAAAAATTCTGCCGGATTTGCTTTCCAAGTATTTGTTTTCCAGGCCTAATTTACTGTGATCAAGAGCCATTATGGACATTAAATGTGATCGAAGATGATTGCTATTTTTTGGGTGTACATATAAAGGCCGTCAACTCGATGTAAGGTTTGGTGCACGCTTGGACTGTTAGCAAATTATTTTTCTCTCAAATCACTTAGCCTTAATCCCTCAAAACAAAAGTCACATCATTGTGCTCTAAAGTGAACTGATTCGTGGAAGACAAGTTTATTCTTTGATTGAAATTACAAATTTATTAATGGGAGCTTCGCTTTTAGCCCTGGCTATATCTATATATTAAACAGGTTGGAGGGGGAAGATCACCTTCAGCAGAATAGGGATTCGAAATTCTGTGGTTCTTCAAATCTATCCAAATATACTTCAGAAATCTTATCATTTGAATCCAAACTCCATTTACATTGCTAATGTCATCTCAATGGCCTCGGTATGCTCGATTTGCAAACATTCCTTTGAGGAAAAGTACATGATCTAATATAAGGTCACCTTGGGCGTCTATTTGATTTTAATTTAAAAACCCAAGCAGGTGTTGATCAAAATCCTAAGAACGAATATACTTTCGGCATCTATTTCAACACAGTACTCTATATTTATCCAGTCCATCTGATTGTTTACGCTTTTAAATCTAGACCCATATCGTTTTCTTGCTTAGAATGTTGTATTTTTGCCGAAAAAATAAATAAACACAGGCTAGCTTAATATTGCCATTTTTAATTATGGATTCTCAGACCGTTTAATATTTTTGTGCATTTTATCCAACAGGTGATGGTAAGAAGTTTACTTCTAAACCAGATCAGCCCACCAAGGCTTTCATCGGAGGCAATGTTTCGTTAGTTTGGCGCTACTATCAGCCATCGCATCTTACTCTCAAAAAGGTGGTGTTTGGCGAATGGACAAGCTCACCCGGCTTCGTTTTTCCGAAAATAATGACGATTAATACGACAGCAAAAAGCATCAGTTTGTCACCAGGCCGTTATGAATCCAGAGTTAGTTGGGCGGGAAACTTTTCAGCTTCCCAAGTAGCGTTCGTTTTGCATAATATTCAGCCAGCAGACGATAAAGTGGTATTCGGGATACATTTAGAGTTTGAGTACATGCATAACCCGCTACTAGGCTATGTACAGATGAAAGTCGAGAAAAAACGTATGTAATATGTCTATGCAATCTTCGTCCGGTAACATTTCCATACGTACCTTGTATGCTTGCAGTTAAAATAACATAAGACCACCAAAAAAAAAAAAAAAAAACGACAACAAAAAAGCAGCATTTCAAGAAAAGAATGATATTGTAAATACTCAAATTGATTAGTGCCCTCCTTCGAATTATTAGCGGCTTTAGCGCGCCACTGTAAGGGCAAAAAAAGTCAGTTATTTAACTAGGTACCCCTTTCAAATTAGCACTGCTGAACCCTTCTCCAATAGAGAAAAAAATCACGATTATTGCGGGCGACAGGAGGATCCCGCAATCCTAATCTCCAGCTTGTTATTACGCATGCGTCGCATGTATGTCGCCAGCATTCGTTTGGACTTCCAATGAGAATGATCATGAATGGAATGGAAGGGCTTCCCGGATTCCGTCCCTGGCTGGTTATGAAGAATAAGCCGAGGAATTTTAGTCAATCAGAAATTTAGGAATTTTTTGAATGAATAATAATTATGTTATTTGATGCCTAGCGCTTCGAGGTTTGGACAGTTTTCAAATATAATCGTACGAGAACAAATCTCAAATTTGTTGCTTAAAATCGGCTCTTTCCTGAACCGATCCAAAAATACAGTGTTACCGTCTTGCCTCTTTGTTTTACGCTCAGACAGGTAAACGTCTAATGCAAAATTCGTCAAATTGCTAAAATTTACGACTTCCCACGACATTTTAAGCAAAAATACGCTTATTTTGATCTATATTGTGATAATACGAACCTTTTTTGATTTTTCCATACATTTCAATTCAGTATACGGTACTGATGAATTGTTGCAGTTTGTATGGACCACCTGTGCTGCTTTTGCCTGTTAATGATAACCTTAGGTCAACTACACATGTTGAACTCTGATGCACCGGCGGAAACATCATGAAATCTGTGGGTTGGAAAAAATTTATTATGGATATAATGACGCGTTTCCTTTTCTCCTGTTTTCTCGGAATTTCTATAGCCGTTGCCGACTTGCCAAGAATCATAAACATTACTAAGGCACCCCTCCTAACACTTGGAGCAGATGTGACCCTCAGTTGTGTTGCCAAGGGGCTATCTCTTCTTAATGTCACATGGTACAAGGGTGGAAAGGTCATGAGTCACCATCATGGCAACCGTACTTCAAAAGCGGTGCTTACGTTGTATAACATCACCAGAGAAGACTGGGGAGAGTACGTTTGTGTCGCCAAAAACTCCGTTGGTGAAGATTCGAAAACTGTTTTCATCAGAAGTGAGTATTTTTTAAAGGGTACATTCAAAATATAGATTTCTGTGGTAACCATGCCACTTTCCGAGTAAAGGATGAATATAGTACTGTTTGTGTACTGAGTATACAAAGAATTTCTTAATAACATAGTGGAGGGGGTGGGGGGAGGGGGGCGGAGCAGGGAAAAGTAAGGAGGAAGGGGGATGTCAAAGGGGGGATTTCAAGCTCTTAACGTTTCCGTGTCAAAATTATTGCTAGCGCAGCCTTAAAAAATAATAATAAACTCTGGACATGTTTCTAAAACGCTCCGTATTTTTAAAACTGCAAGGAAGTGCCTCAGTGCGCCGACAAAACAGGCGAAGGACAGTTCGGGAAATTTGAAATTTCTCTTTGTCTGAAAACTTTTTTCTCAGGGCTGAAAAGGATCAATCGGTCAAACAAGTCCTGTTTTCAGTGTAAACCTACTGAAAAAGAACCCTTCGATTGATCGTCTTCCGGAATGAGAATACACAAACGTTTTGTTACAAATCTCTTCTACCAGGAGAACTTTTTGGACCATTCAAAACGAATACAAAACCATCAAAACGGAGGATTAATACTTTACCCTACCATCCAATTTCGGCAGTAGTTGGCTTTTCCACACGCTAGATATTGTAATGCAATTAATGCCAAAACAAGTGATTTCTAGAGGTTATTCGATTTATTCTACAAAATACGGTCAATCGGTGACGTCCTAAATGGTCAAATATGTAAAGTAAAAATGAGAAGAAACCTGGTAAAATATGAGGATTTTGTCTTTGTTCCACGATCGTTACATGACAATATCGTTCCCTATTCATCTAGTTTCGAGCTTGACCTTGTCATCCTTTTTTAACACAAGAAATTTGTATCCCCTTTAAAAGTTGATTATGTACCGCTGGGCAAATGGTATTAAGGTCAAACTGTTTTTGATACGGAAAAAACTGATTAATGATTAAATTAATAAGTAAGTATACAGGCATTAAATAATGATAATAATAATAATAATAATGATGATGATGATGATGATGATGATGGTGGTGGTGGTAGTGGTGGTGTTGGCGATGATGATAACAAAAACATTTGTGATTACTGGGTAATTTAAAATATCTTAATTCCCAGGCTAACTATTTGTACTAGCTCAATATTTGTTGTTAATGGAAATACTCCGTTGTTCATGCTACACATAAACCGAAATTAATTGTTATTGATAAGCAAATGACTTCCTTTATCGTTCAAGTTCTTCCTTCAAGCCCAACGATTCTGCATACAAACACGATTGCTCGCAATAAAAGCTGGGTCCTGAGGTGGTCAGCGGTCTACAGCGAGGGGCACTTGGTGAAGACATATACAGTGTGGCACCAACTCTGGCACATAGTAAAGGACAATATGACTCGCAAGGAATCCTGGTTACGAGAGAATATTACTGGCTTTGTGTACCGTAAAGAACTAGCCGCTGACACGCGTTATTTGTTCGCGGTAACAGCTTGGAACAAATGGGGCGAGAGTGAATTGGAGATTGACAAAATACTGAACATATCGACGAAGTTTACAGATGCATTCACTCATCAAATAGAGAGAACAACAAATCTACCAGGTATGAATGACTGTGAATCACAGAAATGGGTAGCCTGCGATGATGCCCTCTCCTTCATGTCTGTTATCTGTTTTCGGGAGGAGGGCATGATACATTTCTTTTACAAATCACATGCAAAAAAGCCAGAATCTGGACTTTTATCTGATTGGATAGAAAACAATACGGTTGATTTGCGCCGTTCCGATTGGCCAAAACGCCGCCAGCCGTTAGTTGTTGTTGATTTCAGTCTGCATTTTTGCTTGGGTAATGAGCAGTGAATACACACGTGAGTTCGTTATGAAATTTCTGCCGGCTCAGTTTTCTTGAATTTGAAGAATGTTTAAATAGAAATTTCATCCATTGAAATATTTTCCATTTCATCGTATACTAAAAATTGCAGTCAAAAATTCACCGATCATTTGAATGCAATTTGATACCCGCTACAAGTTACAGAAGCGACAAACGGGTTCACTTTCAAATAATCAATTTATGAATGGAATCTTGACCTGGTTTGACTGCAATTCCTCCTTCAGAAACCTGAGAATTATTCTGAGCGATCTTCGCTTTCACAACAAGTTTCAGTTCGTGAAATATGTGCTTCAGCCTATTTTTTTTCACTGCTTTCGGCACAGAACGAAGTCAACGAGCTTTTACTAGTAACAGCTCTAGCTAGCAGTATTTCATCACACACACAAAGAAAAAACATTTAAAAATTTTTTAAGGAAGCGCCATCTGAATGTACTTAACAATTTTCTTTTCCCTAACATGGATTTCGAAAGAGATATTCCGGCCAAAATTTGATTCCCGTCTGAATGCTGATTGGCTAATAACATGACAGGTAAAGCAGACGTTAGATTATGCAAATTAGGGAGCGGTTGATGGCTTGTTACAAATCAATGTATCAGTCGTTATTTTTTTCCCTCTCGAGCCAAAGAAGCAAAGAAGCCAAAAAAAACCAAACAAACAAACAACAACAACAACAAAAAAACAAAATAACAAAACAAAAAGACAAAAAAAAAGATAAATAACTCCTGATCTCAGGTTAAAAAATGGGTGATTCCTCTAATAATTGGTCAAATTAATTTTTTAAGTGCATGAATGAAACCAAATCAAAGGAATTGCGTTTTCTCTCTACAATGACAGAGAAAATGTAGTGAAACAAAGGAAACTCCTGGACTACGGTACTAGGCACAGAAAAGCACTATAGCCTGGCTTTATTTTGATTATTCTGATTATTTAGCTCGGGTTTCTGAGCCACTTCCAAAGACCAAAAGAAAAAGGCAAAACTTTCCTATTCTTATACGCAGTTCATCAACTGTAAGGAACTCCACTGACCATGTCTGATGGCCTATTTTATTTATCTGTTGTCAGCTACAACGAAGCCACAGTGGACTGGAACATCAACAATGCCAATCTTAATGAGCAACACGAAAAATGAGGAGAAAAATAATTCCATCCCTCTGGAGGCGTTAATTGCCGTCTCTGCGTTTCCTGTAGTTGTAGCATGTGCTGTTTGGTTGGTTTGCTATTTTAGGCGAAACAGCGCTCCCTGGAAAAATCCAAGTGAGTTAACCGGATTAATTTTTTGTTCGCTTTTTCTTTTTCAAGTGCAGGAATTTTTCAATTAGACGCAGTTACAGGGCAGTAAAACCTTTCAGAACGGTATTGATCATTTTCATGAATGTACAGTTGATGTCTGTAAAAACTGCTGATGGATGCACGGTTGAGGGCGAGTGTATCCTTGCCTAAAAGGTACACACTGAATATAGAATGGGAACACTTTTATTTGTGTTAGGCCCAAGGGCCACCCACCTACTCGAGTAACCCTGGGCGAGCCAAATGTACACGCGTATTGTTGGCATGCGAAAAGGTTGGCTTGGCCAGAAGGGTGACCAACCTAACCGGGTGATGGTAGTATCAACCTGCTACTATGTTACCGGGTTATCCCTATAGCAGGACGTTAAACTGCGGAAACAGTTTCTGTCAATTGCCAATCCTCTAACTTCTGTTAGGGACCGTGTCGAAAAGTGTTGTTAAATTTGGATCAAATAAAAATAGGAAAAAATGGACGCGACAAGCGAGTTTATCATTCTTAATGAAACTGATTTGTTTTTATGAAAAGAGTTACACCAACATAAAAGTTATAAGTGAGAAAGTTTAGTCCTCTTTGTACCAGTCCTCCTTCCTACATTAACTGTTTCCCTTGACCCAGGCCATTCCTTAATTCACCAGAGCTTCTAATCTACCCGGGATTAGAATCTTTCATAAATCCCGCATAAGAATTTGATTAAAAGTCCTGCAACATAAATTGACTGTTTTAATTTATTTTCGATTTTGACAGGGCCCCAGCAAGGGTACGTATTTAAATTAAAATTTTTTGCAATGCATACACGATTCGTTACCTTCCTTTTAGCTTGAGGACCTTTCATCAGCACATCAGTCACTGTGAATGACGCCTATAATTATTTGCCATGGTCATCTACACTGTAATAGACCTTGTCTTGGTTTTGGAAGCTTTTTTGACGAGTAAAACCGCGTGAGAAATTATTTTACTTTTTTTTCAGAACAGGCTTTTTACGGAAATGATTAGATATTAGATTCTCATACAAACACTGTCAGTAATTTTTTACGCGGTAATGCCTACTCGTCAAGATGGCTTCCAAAACCGTAACAAGGTCTATTAATTTACTGTGGTTTTTTCCACTATCAATAATCTGTGAGGTGTAGCCAGTTGTTCACTTTTTTATTTCATTGCAACGATGATCCTCATTATATTTTCATTACTCAAAAGCATTCATTCAAGGATAATGCATCCTACATGCAAAGGCTGGCACATTTATTGGTTTATATTTTCAGGAGGAAAGGATTTTCTTCTCCTTCGCATTTGAATCTCACATCTGAGCTGGTAAGGTGGTTTCTTGTTTTTCTTTGATAGTGATGAAACCGGCATTAACTTTATAAGAAGTTAAACTTTTTGCCCTATTCTTTACATGTACACCAATCTCTACCGGTGCTCCTTTTTCTTTGTGTATCGAAGTTGTAATAGGCAATTTCCGAGTTTCCAGAAAAATCTCATTTCAAAGCGAGGCTAGGTGAAAAACCTCAAAATGAGTTTTATTTGCATGAGAAAACAAATCATTGCCATATCAAAACTGCGCTTTTAGCCTTGCTGAAAGAGGCTTGGTGCAACTCGGATATGGTTTACAGTGTATCTAACGTACGTTTTATTTTTTGCTTTTATCTACAATAGGCATGACTGCATGTCATTTTGAAAGTAGGCTCGCTACTTTCATTTTAACTTTTTTTATTTATTTGTAACGCATCCTGCAATACAACTGGGGGATATGAATAACGCAGCACCCATGCAAATACCATTCAAGTTTTCTAGATTTAAAGGGACTTAAATGGACGGCAGGTTAACAAAATAACTAAAGAAAGGGAGGTAGCAAAGAGAAATGAGTTTCTTGAAGTGTTTGTTGGTGTTAAGCCGGAGATTTATACAATAATTCCCTGCTCAGTTGTTTTTCACTAGGATACAGTAAGCATTCACATTTTTAAAATTCTAATTTATGATAAGTATTTGGTACCATTGTGGAATGAGTACGGCTTCTCGCGCTAAATAAAATGGGTTTCCTTTAAGGAAAATTTTTAAAAATACGCAGAAATTTTAACAAGAACGAGCCGCTTTCCCCTTGAGTAAAATTGACCACATTTGGGTTCATTGATATGTAGGCTCTGGAGTCAGAGGATAGAAGGCACTCAGTAATTATGTCAGGATCATCGTGGTTTATCTACGGTTCGACACCAACACTAACAACAACGACAAATATGGACGAGCGCAGTAGTAGCCAACCAGGCATTGCTGACGAATCCCTTTTTTTAAAGCCAGTTATTCCTGGACCAAGCAATGAAGCTCCTACCTTTGCATGCTACGATCAGCCCACCTCACAGGATGTTAAAGTGAACAACCGAGATCATGTTATCTCTGCAATGAACAATCATGCTATATTTGAAGTGCGAGAAGAGATAACCAGGGATCGGAAAGACAATATAAGTCAGCGAGTTGGCACCGAAACGTCTCAGCAATTGGTTGATTCCGAAGGTTACCTTGTGCCGGATGATAGCGACAGTGTGACAAGAGCGAGGAAAAAGATGATGCCTCGGACTGGACCGTGGTTAAAAAAAGCGTTAAAGAAGGAAAACAAAACATTTCAATTCCAAAACTCCACTTTTTATATCCCTTCCGAGCGCTTGCATGTTTCAGATGGGCTAGAAATGGCCCAGCATTGCGCTAGCGCTCGAAATCCTAACCAACTCTTTCTCACTGATCTTCAAACAAGGACTCTTCATGGATCGAGGAATTATGAGAATGACCCGCTTCAGGACACTGAGAATGCACTGATCCATGGCTCCACCGATCATCCCATGGTTCTCGGTGTGTCGCCATACTCGCATATTTATTGTAACACTAGCTGGGAAATCCCACAAGATCACCTGTCTTTAGAAGAGAAAATCGGTGGAGGGGAGTTTGGTCAGGTGTGGAGAGGAAAGTTGTATGACGTGACTAGCACAGGAAAGTGGCTAGTTGTAGCTGTAAAGATGCTGCAAGGTAAAATTATTGCTACAGTGAAGATTAAAAGAACTTGGGAAGCTGAAAAGCCCGTTCCAAGTATCATAAGTAATTGCAACACAGGGCAGACCCTTCTCCGAATAATAATCGTTTGTGATCAGCTTCGGGTTCATCCCTTCATCCCACTCTCTTCCACTCCCCATGGCTTGCTGTGCACAAAAAAGGATTCATCCCCACCCATTTAATTTGCTTAATATAGGCCTCGTTAGCTTGCATGTTTTGTTTAAAAATACAGGTTATGTGATGATACTCTAGAGAACTGTTTCTTTCTATTTTTGTCTAATTCACGCGCATAACTATGCATAATTTATGAAAAGACAAAGGGTCAAGTTCCCTGGAACCTCTGTTGGGAAAACAAAACATACCAGCTAATAAAAGAGGTCTATTGAACATCGTACGTTTGGGATGATGGGGGAGGGGAAGGTCGTCAGTTTCAGTCTAATATTACAGGAAAGGTCCTAAAACTTTTGACCTCCATTGTAGTATTAAATTCACAAAGTCAAGACTTGTACATTCAGGCACAAAAACGAACCGCATTTAAAGTTGCCGTGTCACGATTACTTCCACCTTTTTTGGTAAAAGTGGAGCTGAAATTCTAACTTTGATTTCTTTTCCAAGTATTGTCATACTTGGAACTTTCATAGCAAGATATCAAGATATACCAAGATATCAAAGGGAGAGCAAAGTGTGATTGGTTTTGGTCGTTTTTGATCAATAGGACAGGAATCAACTTGAAATAGCTGGCCAAAATTTTTTATATGTAATCCGTTTCCATCAGGCTATCGAAAGCCGAACGTATCAACTTGTATTACAGCACGAAAAGTGAAATTTACCTTACTGTACCTGATTCCTTAAAGTGCCGGAAAATTCAGAGCCAAAGCTGCACGCAAGTTCAGTTTGCACTATCGTGTGAAGGTGAGTAAAGTAGAGCGCCCATAAAAGCTGCATTAGTACTCTGCCAATTACAAGTACTGATGTACATAAAGAATACATTTGAACTTTATATATCACGTCACATCTCTTATTCCCAAGAAACTGTCTCCTAAGGGAAAAGTTTTTAGATATGCTATGATCGCTGACGAAGGATGTTGTGTTTTAAAGATCATTTTTTTCGTTATAGCCAATTATTCGCCTTCGGACCAAAAGGACCTTCTGTCTGAACTGGATTTGTTGAAGAAGCTTAAACCTCATCCTAACGTCATACGATTGTTGGGCTGTGTGACTAAAGACGTTGTTAGATGCAAAGGAAAGGGAGTTTTCCGTAAGTGTAACAACTCTAACTCTAACAAAGCTGAAATAGGACAGTGTCGAGTTCTCTAAAGCCTCTGTTTCAAAGCGAGGCAAAGTGCAAAGCTATTGATACTGTATTATCAGGCTAACATCCCGTCTGGGTACTCCCTTTAATGGCCTATACGGGGAGGCTCCACCCGAAAGGGGTACCTTTTTCAGACTTCAGGTTTATGAAAGGGTAGGGATTTTACTCGTTGAAGTATACGAAAGGGCAGGGAAATCTGTCATTTGGCTTTGTGAAGGGGCCAAAGGGCTGTTAGATGAATTGTATGGCTTTATAAAGTCGAGAAAACGTTCTATCGTTGTCTTCCTTTCCTATAAATAAAAGGGATGCAAAATTCTAGACAAGGTATGTGGAAGGGTTATACGAAAGGGGTACCTATATTGCGAAAAATCCTATACAAAAGGGTAAGGAGTTGGACCTCTGGGCGGAGCCTCCCCGTCTGAAAATTTGTTGAGTAATCCCATCCCCCTTAGTTAAAAATCCTAGTGATCTAATTTGCTTTAGGTTAATTTTTGGCATCTAACAATGTTGCTGTCTTTTAAGGGCCACCTCTTTTAATCCTGGAGAATGCTCCTTATGGCGATCTTCTTGGATATCTAAGGAAACGTAGAGGACAAAATGATGATTACGACCATTTTAATAGAATGAAAGTCCCACAAAAGATAGCAAAACAGCAACTCTACCAATTTGCCACGGATATCGCTCGTGGTATGGAATATATCGCTTCTCATCAGGTGAGTTATGGGAAGAAAAAAATAAATCATTTTGCAAATATATGAGTTAGAACCAAGTTGCCGATTGGCCGGGGAAGAAATACTCCAGGGAATTCTTGGCGAGGGTTTGCCGCCTGGTTCTCCAAATCCTAACACTCTAAAGTTTCAGACCAAGAAATGTCATTTTCCACACCCGTTCTCAGACCTAGCCTTTAGGCAGAAATTATGTCATCTTTTTATTAGATTAGAGCACAAACAAAAAGTATCTTCAAATGCATTTCGAATTTTCATATTTCTACTTCGTTCTTATTCATTTGGATTTGAAACGATAAATACGTTCATGATCTCCCATAGTTCCCTCGAAAAACAATACCCAATTCCAGACCACAATGGGCAAAATGCCGTATACCCATTTTCAGACCAAAAAGGACCAAAAACCATTATACTCTTTGGAGGAGCACATACCTATCGAGGGAGTACCGCCCCGGGCAGACTATAAACTTATCAACAGGCGGCGACAATTTGTTGAGACCCTGTCGTCAAATGAAGTGTTTGTTGTTTAGTATTCCACAGCAGGTAGCTATAGGTGTTTATATTTTGCAAAGGACCAAAAACCATTATACTCTTCGGAGGAGCACATACCTATCGAGGGAGTACCGCCCCGGGCAGACTATAAACTTATCAACAGGCGGCGACAATTTGTTGAGACCCTGTCGACAAATGAAGTGTTTGTTGTTTAGTATTCCACAGCAGGTAGCTAAAACAGCGACACAAAGGTGTTTATAAAGGGTGCGTAGAAATTAAGAAAGTTTCATTTTTCCCTTTCGAATTAGTTAGCGAGAGAATGGCCCTTTAGTGCAAAGTCGGTTGATCATAGAATATAATATAAGCCAACCAGATCTTTCACACAAAGTGATAAGTTCAATGAACTCAAAGCGAATAGTAAGATCATCGCTTTGAGGAAGCATGATGTTAACTGGAAGGGGAAACATCCCATTGTGTCTTACATCAAACAAAAGAAGAGGGTTTTCCTTTCTTTTAAATTTCTCACAGCTTATTCACCGAGATTTAGCTGCTAGGAACGTGTTACTTGGAGATAAACTGCAATGTAAGATCACTGACTTTGGAATGGCGAGGGACCTGGGACTAGGAGATGGAATTTATGCCAGGAAATCAAACGTAAGTTCCGGCCGAAGAGACATTACACGCAGTAATAAGAATCTACTTTTGTATTTATTTATTTACGTGTTTATTTATTTATAATGGTAATAGGACTGAGTGGAGTCTAATTCGGTCTGTAATCATACGGGTGTTAACAAAATCGGACGAGCGCGAAGAGGGAGTCCAATTTGTTCAACCACGAGTATGATTACGGACCTAATTGGACGACACGAAGTCCTGTTGCCAATTGATCATAACCGTTAACCGTTACAATTTCCGAGAAAATAAATGTATTCTTTTTTAGTAAAAGAGCATTTGAATACCAAATGTACAAAATTAGGGAACATATCACTGGCGGAGACACTGGCGCAGTTTATAAATTAAGTATCTCTTGATTTGTGCCTTTTTCTGAACTGGATTCCGATATCTGATTTTACTTCACAAACCGGCTAACCGAACAATCCTAAGTGCTTGAAAACTTCAAATTTTATACTTTTTCAGAGAAAACTGGTATGAAAAGATTAATTGGAAGTCTAATTTTCTACCACGAATCAAGGCAGGTAATTTGCGAAGTGTTGTAAGAGATACTCAAAAATAGTTTTATAATAGTTTTGTGCTTTTATTGACAGGGTGTGATGCCTTTGAAATGGATGGCGGTCGAGTCGTTAACGAATCGAGTTTCCACCACAGAAAGTGATATGTGAGTTGTCAGCAATTCAGCTAAGATTAGAAAGTTTGTCATACGCCTTTAAGTTTTCCAGGTTCGAACATGGCCATTTTATCTACGTGCTCGTGAAGCTCGAGCGCAAGTCCACGAAGCTGCCATAGTTTTTCAGTCAAGACGGGATTTTTCACGTGCGACCCCCTAAAAAAAGGACGCAGGTCGACCGGGACGGCGAGGATGCCTTCTCCCTTCTAATATGCCTTGACGCTACCAAATTTGTACTGCTAAGTTTCTTTACTCTTATAAAGACAATTTACCTGAAAATTTGGGAAAACCACTAACCAAGAATGCAAAAGTCCACTTCCAGTTGACGTGCTTCTCTTAAAAGCCTCTTTGCTTAAACTTTCTAAAAACCGTGCAAAAGCACCCTTGGAATGAATCAATTTGGCTGTAAGTTTGAGATAGGGCAAGTGGAATTGAAGTGGTTCTGTAACGCAGTTAGTTGTTCAACACTTATCTCAACGATATTGTGTGACTGCTTATCTGTCATTTTCTTTAATTTCCTCCATTTAGATGGAGTTACGGGATCGTGTTGTATGAAATATTTACCCTCGGTAAGTATTAGCCGTTCACTCATATAGCCCGCGGGTAAGCACTCCACCCGCTCGGGGTGCTCTGGCAGCGGCCGCAGAGAGCTTGTTCGCACGCTATCGCTCATACACGTCGGAACTGTTCTTCCAGACAGTAACCTAAGGGAGAAACCCAAGGAGAAAACTTGAGAAAATTAACAACAAGTTTCAGCTGTGCTTCTTGGATGTATTCCAAATTAGTTCTATTTGTCTACACAGCTGATCATTTTCTGTAGACGAGTAAAGCTGTGCGCTAAAATATATCTCGAAATTACCTTAAATACATAAAGCTTCATTTTTTTTTTTCAGGAGGAAAGCCCTACGACGGAATGACAGCTAAAGAGGCTTGCCTTTTTGTCCGAAGCGGTCACAGAATGCCAAGACCTTCAGCTATAAGCCTTGAACTGTGAGTTCGTCAGTTTGTTAAGTTCATTCCTTTCGTCCAGTACGTCCAGTATAAGATCGTGTTTGGTTACCCAACAACTAAATACTAGATTGACCAGGCATAAAGCAAATATGATATTTATTGATTTTTGCTCTCGCCGGTCTCTCAGACGTAGCTATCGTTATCATGCAGTTGTGAAATATAAGATTGCAGCTTTTTTTGTTGAGTTCAATTCAACTAGGTATTGTTCTAATTGTATCTAACTTTTGTTTGTGGACTCAACCATTTTGTAACTTTTTATCTTTTTTCAGCTATGAGCTAATGCTTCAATGCTGGAACAAAGAACCATCCCAGCGACCCAAGTTTAGTGATATAGTGATTTGGATGGAAAATTCCTTACAAAGAGTATAAGAGTTGACAAAAGTCGCCTCTCCACCTTTAAAAGAAACAGTTTCAGTGGCAAAGCTAAGGAAAAATCGAACCCCTGTATAGTCAGTCTAGAGTCTATTTTCATCTAATAGTATTCAAAACCAGTAGTGGTAATGATACTGTAGGCAGACCCAAAGAGTGGGAGAACAACACAAGAGAAATAAGGAATACTAGCGAGGGGAACAAGGATGTTGCTGAGTCATGTTCATGCCATATCGATGTTGATAATAAACTGGGTTATGAAGTACAATATTTGTCTAATGCTACAGTAAAACGGGCTTCAAAACGGCCAATTTGTTTCGCAACGTTGCTGTAAAACGGGTTGAAAAACTATGTTACGCGTTTTACCGCCCACGTTCAAACCTTTCTTGGAACAAATCACACTTTTATGTAAAATATACGCAAGGCTTTCAATGAAGCATTCAGAAGCTAACGCTGTAAGCAGGAACGGTAAAAAGTACAAACCATCCAGCAGAAAAAGTACAAAATGTGGATGGCACAGGTTTCCTATTCGTTTTAAAATTATTGCCACATTGGTTCATCAGCTTTATTGCTCGCCTACAAGACTTAGAATAACGATATGTTCAACACTAAGTACTGCAGATAATGTTGAAAAGCCTCTAATGTACAAACAACTACCAAACTTTAAATTAAAAAAAGCTAAAAAGAATAATTATATACAAATAGATGGGAGTATAAATACAAATAAATATAAAAAATTAATATAATTTCTCCTGTGACCGTTGAAGTTAAATTGAGGTTGTAGAAAAATGCCTTGAAGATTGAAGACTTCAGACCCAGAATCCTGTTCTGATCTTATAAATATCTTCGACAAGTCTTCTTGGGCTCAGACGTTCCCCTTAGAAGCTCGCAACACTATGTTAACGAAACTATCACTTTGACTATCATCATAATTACCGCTATCATCATTGCCTGCGTCGCAGACGCTCTAAACCTTCTGTGTAGGACTATATTAATGGTTTACATGAGTGCGTGGGCCGGCTGCAACGCCGGCTACTACCATCACTACTGTGAATAAAAACTGAGTCATGATCAAGTAGGACTTTTTTCAATAGATCACAAGTGCAAGCCCAGCTAAATTTGATCTGACCGAAGCTTCCTCAGTCTTATATTTGTCTCTTACTTCATTATCAAATTAGTCGACATAGGTCTAAAGTCGAGAAGTTTACTCCTGACGAAACAAATGTTTACTCCAAAATTCACCTTGGTCTAGCAGATGTTCAGTTGAAAAGAAAATAGTAAGAGCGAAATAAAAAATGAAGTGAAATTAAGTTGACATGCGTTATCAGTCTAAAAGTACTGCCGGCAGTTAGCATGACTTGGCTCAAACGTCGCGCTGCTGCCGTGCTAAAGTCGAATTTAATTCAATCAATTTAATTCGGCACGACAGTAGCACGACGTTTGAAACGGGCCTTAGACAGCACTGATTTCTTCTGTATTCGGCAATTTAATTCCCCGTTTATGTTTACTGTGGTATCTGCAGTACAAGCATACAGCTATTATCACAATGACAACTGCCAAAGAACCTATTGCAGGTAGTACAATATGTAAAGCCAATCCATGACTGTTCTCACCTGCAAGACGACAGTACATCCATTAGATAAATTTAAAAATACTGACTATATCCAAGAGAGAATAAATTGAAGGGCTATGAAAGGTGCTACGGGGCTAAACCACCTCTAAGATCGGTTATAACAAAGTTGCTAGATAGTCTATTAAGATTGTTAACCAAATAATGCTAAGATTTTTAAGTGCACTTGATTAAATTTCAAAGTCATATTTATATCATCAGAAAAGGACTTTAGGTCCAAGAGATTACAATATAGGTGTTACAACCGGGTCATTCCACTTAAACTGAGTTCAGTGGAACCCCGTAAATACTGTCACCAATGGGCCAAAAAAATTTAGCCGTAACGACGAGGTGACCGTATTGACGAAGGTTTCTTTACAAGAAAATGTATGGTCGCTTTTGCCTGGCGGCCAACAAAAAAGTGGCCGTAATAATGAGGTGACCTTATTACCGAGGTGGCCGTAAGGCGGGGCTCCTCTGTACTTACTTGTAGCTGAAGAAGTTGTGTGAGAATCTGGTATCGTTGTCAGTGGAAGGGCTGATGATGGCGACGAGACTGTTATGGAATTAGCTGCAATTACATGAACAACAAACTAAGATAATAAACATGTATAAGTTGTGGTTCAATTTTAAACTTGGCTTGAATTTCTTTTGTTTTTGGGTATGGTAATGTTTTATGATAATGACATGATAATGAGTCTGAAACAAAAAAAAAATAACACTTAAACCAAGGATAAAATTGAACCACAACATATGCATCATTCAATCGATCGGTCGATCATTATCAACTAATAAAAGTTAATTCAACTTAAGTTGTCAGCATAGTCTAAAAACGTAGTCAATTGATAACTGGCGAAGCCTAAAAAAATGACAGCAGAATTCTAAGTTGCTAAACAAGAAAGAAACAATGTTAGAACTGACTGAATCTGAAGTCAAAGATCATTAATTACTTTCCAGTAAAGGCCGTCATTGATGTAGAATAGTCATCGGAGAAGAAAAATAAACTGAATAAAAAACAACGACAAATTCGGTAGTGCAATAAGTATTAAGCCGATCCATGACTATTGTCAACTAACTACACTGAGAAGACAAAGACAAATTTAAAAACAGACTTAAACTTAAAATAAATCATCGCAGTGAAGGGCCATTAGGGAACGGTAGTACGAGACGAAATCGAAAATCCCGAAATCGGTCATTTGGTCTAATTCTAACAAATTTGCCAGATATAAATTCTAAGATTATTGACCAAATAATGTTTAGATTTTTAAGTGACCTTAACTAAATCTTAAATTTTAAAGTCAGAATTCTATCAACGGAAAGAGCTTTACAGGAGGAGTAAAACGCTAAAAACCGTCTTTAGCTGCAGAGACAAATATTTCTCGAGCCGATGGCAACATAAAAAAAATGTATTAATGTAAGTACCTCAGAGCCACTTGATACTTTTTTTAAAAAGAGTATCCCTATTTCTTTTTTTTCATTTTTGGCCACTTGAAGCTAATTTTTGGTAATACATCATCCAGGTAATGCTTGCAAGGCAATTAAACATTTAAAATTAGACCTACTTATTAATACAACCCATTTCAGTGCTACTAACTTTTCAAAATGAAAAATGTCATATCTCAGCAAATATTTGAGATATTGGTAACCGTTCTACTCACGGAACAGTTCTCTCAATAGTGAGTCACCTCAACTGAGTACTTACTTGTAACTGAAGAAGTTGTGGGAGAACCTGGTACCGTTGTTAAAAGGGCTGATGATTGCGAAGGAGGCGCCGAGACTGTCATAGAATTAGCTGCAATTACATGAATTAGAAAGATAATGTATATGCAATACTATTCTTTTATCGATCATTATTTAACCGATAAATTACTTCAACTTGTCACCATAGTCTAATAACGTCGTCCATTTAACTGGCAAAACTTAAAAAAGACGCGGATTTCTCAGTTGCAAAAAACAGCAATCCTTGTCGCCTCCAGCATCCCCTACTTTTCTGGCAACAAATCTACTTGTTTTGTTTAAATCAATCACACTGATATAAATTACAGATTGTAACTTTAGCTTTTGACTTTAAAGATGTTTGACATTGTGCTTGAATCCAGGGGATGCTTACAAGGCAATAAAACGTTTAAAATTAGACTCATTATACAAGGGGGTAACCCATTTCAGTGCTACTAACTTTTCAAAATAAAATGAAAAATATCATGTCTCAGCACTATTTGAGATATTGGGAATCGTTCAACTCACGGAACAGTTCTCTCAGTAATAATGAAATTTTAGGACTTTTAGTTCAAAGAGAATACAATACAGGTGTTGTGACTGAAAAATCGGTACCTGCTCGAGCCACTTTAACTGAATACTTACTTGTAGCTGAAGAAGGTGTGGGAGAATCTGGTATCGTCGTTGGAAGGGCTGATGATGGCAAAGTAGGCGAGACTGTTGTGGAATTAGCTGCAATTATATGAATTAGAAAGATAATATATGCATTGATATTCTTTTATTGATCATTATCCAACTGACAAGTTACTTCAACTTAACGCGAATTTCTTAGTTGCAAAGACGCGAAAGTAAAATGTTAGAANTCTTTTATCGATCATTATTTAACCGATAAATTACTTCAACTTGTCACCATAGTCTAATAACGTCGTCCATTTAACTGGCAAAACTTAAAAAAGACGCGGATTTCTCAGTTGCAAAAAACAGCAATCCTTGTCGCCTCCAGCATCCCCTACTTTTCTGGCAACAAATCTACTTGTTTTGTTTAAATCAATCACACTGATATAAATTACAGATTGTAACTTTAGCTTTTGACTTTAAAGATGTTTGACATTTGCTTGAATCCAGGGGATGCTTACAAGGCAATAAAACGTTTAAAATTAGACTCATTATACAAGAGGGTAACCCATTTCAGTGCTACCAACTTTTCAAAATAAAATGAAAAATATCATGTCTCAGCACTATTTGAGATATTGGGAATCGTTCAACTCACGGAACAGTTCTCTCAGTAATAATGAAATTTTAGGACTTTTAGTTCAAAGAGAATACAATACAGGTGTTGTGACTGAAAAATCGGTACCTGCTCGAGCCACTTTAACTGAATACTTACTTGTAGCTGAAGAAGGTGTGGGAGAATCTGGTATCGTCGTTGGAAGGGCTGATGATGGCAAAGTAGGCGAGACTGTTGTGGAATTAGCTGCAATTATATGAATTAGAAAGATAATATATGCATTGATATTCTTTTATTGATCATTATCCAACTGACAAGTTACTTCAACTTAACGCGAATTTCTTAGTTGCAAAGACGCGAAAGTAAAATGTTAGAAATGATTGAATCTGAAGGAGATCATTGATATGGAATAATCACCTGACCAGGAAAACCAATAAACAAATATGAAAAGAAATAAACAAGAACGACAATTTCACAGAACATACTACAAAGAACATAAGAAAATATGCAACTTGACAATTACACAGATCTTGTAGGGTGTTTCAATGTTAACATGCAGATCGAAGGGGGTCAGTTAAGATAACATGCCCTTTGAGATCTGCATTTATTTATATAGAGGATATTACACGGTGGCTTGAAGATATGAATTTTATTTTCGAGTGGCAAAACAATATTTTACTCACTCGCTGCGCTCGTTCGTAAAATATTGTTTTGCCACTCGAAAATAAAATTCATATCTTCAAGCCGCCGTGTAATGTTTTTTTTATTATATAGACAAAAAGACGTCGATAAAATGATAGAGTTTTCTGCGCCAAAAAGTACTCGTGACGGCTCAAATTTACAGTGCAGCAATATAAGACATTTTTTACAATAATCTTGAGAAATAACACTGAGCTGAATAGGGCTCTACGATGACAAAATATAAGGAAAGCTTTGAAAAATGTGTAAGTAAAATTCAAAAGGCGCAAGACGCCTACAAATTTCGAAGGGAAATTACCGAACGGAAATTACGTCATCGATAAACTCACGTGTGAGATTATGGAAAATAAACCACTCGGGTCCCGGATGTAGTTTTTATGAATTTTACGAGTGGTATATTTTCCAGTAAAACACTCGTGTCTATATGATAAAATATGAATTCTTCAGATCATAAGCACCCTCATTCAATAATTGCTAGTTACATCTAGTTGCAACAACGTTGTCTTAGAAAAATGCTTAAAGGAAGAATAAAAAAGGGAAAAAGCCAAATAGCAGACTGAGTAGCTTACTAATAAACCACTATAAGAACAATTCATGTGCCGCATAGACGTTTGAAACAATTTTAAAGCAGGCCATATACAACAAAATACGTTCGATAAAACGAGGCTCCGTCTGATCGAGCTTCTTTTCTATATACTTTTTAATTAAGGCAGAAAATATCGTTCGTTTTATCGAGGACTGTGTTATATAGAGGTTCGTTATTTCGGGCGTCGTCTTATCAGTAAACCTAATTTATTCTTATTTGGCCTTTTCCTTTTTTTCCCTTTTCCCTCTTACCATTTTTCTACGCCAATATTATTGCAATATTCCATTTCCGAGTTCCCGTCGTACCTCTGTATTAAAACGAGGTTAAGTGCTCAGCCTTTCATATGGAAATGATTTTTCATTCTAGTGCAAATAAAACTCATTTTCACAAGAAAGGTTGTGCACTCTTTGGCCTCATTTTGAAAGCGTGGTTTCTTGAACTCGGAAGTTGCCTAATTACCTACTACTAGCCAATGTAACTGAATCTATCACATACCTTGGAATAATGAACAGGGGAGTTCACAAATCAGAGGTTTATTTTTATCGTCGTAATGCAGCCGCATAAAATAAATTTTTGTGCAGTTCGTCTTACTCAAATTAACTGGGAAACGCAATTTTCCACTTTTGTAGCTTGCATGAGTAATTGCATCCGTACATAATCTGTCTTGCCTATAGTTTCCACTGCAATCATTTTTTCCATTTGCAAAATGGCAGCTGAATCGATTATTGGTGGCGTTAACGTAGAGACAAATGTCTTCGTTGTGGTTTAATTGAACGTTTATCACATCTCCATCGATACCACACGGAAATGATGCTAAAAAAGTCATATTAAAATAGCAATGTGATTATCTTTGCTACTGTTTGTCTACAGTTAACTTTTACAGACTAGACTTTTAGGACTCATTAGAAAAAGTCATCAGGGGGAGGGTGAGGATCGAGTTTTCGAGCAGCATAAATTACTTGTCGTTAACATTCCCCTTGAATTGTTTCATTTCGACTCACCCACCCCAGCATGAATGTTTTGTTAATTTCTTCTTTACCCACCCCTGATATTTTTTCCCAATGGTCCTTCTCCCTAGCAGCACACGTTAACACTTATGTTTCGAACATTGAATCAAAACAAAGTTCGGAGTTATTCGGTGAGGGCAAAATACAGAAGACGTTTGCGGAAAGGAATGTGGCAAGACTTGTGGAATGGCATAACCTTCGGTGAAATGAGGTGTACTACGAGGTGTTATTATTCATTCAAAATATTTCTCCTTTACAAATTATTACGCACAATTCATCATAACCAGCTTCTGTCGACCAAATTTAAAAGAACTTTGCGATACGTCAACTGATGACGTCAATCGTGCAGCGAAATTGCCAAATGATTGAACTGTTAACATAGAAGAGCTGGGGATGAGGTTGAGTTGTTTTGGGTTTTTAAAGCTCTTTTTTAAACTAGGAATCATGCTGGGTGTTATCCGGCTAAACCCTCTCCTCGATCTCCCTAATTCTTCAGAAGATACGAAAGTCGCATTCAATATTTGCAANAATCATTTTTTCCATTTGCAAAATGGCAGCTGAATCGATTATTGGTGGCGTTAACGTAGAGACAAATGTCTTCGTTGTGGTTTAATTGAACGTTTATCACATCTCCATCGATACCACACGGAAATGATGCTAAAAAAGTCATATTAAAATAGCAATGTGATTATGTTTGCTACTGTTTGTCTACAGTTAACTTTTACAGACTAGACTTTTAGGACTCATTAGAAAAAGTCATCAGGGGGAGGGTGGGGATCGAGTTTTCGAGCAGCATAAATTACTTGTCGTTAACATTCCCCTTGAATTGTTTCATTTCGACTCACCCACCCCAGCATGAATGTTTTGTTAATTTCTTCTTTACCCACCCCTGATATTTTTTCCCAATGGTCCTTCTCCCTAGCAGCACACGTTAACACTTATGTTTCGAACATTGAATCAAAACAAAGTTCGGAGTTATTCGGTGAGGGCAAAATACAGAAGACGTTTGCGGAAAGGAATGTGGCAAGACTTGTGGAATGGCATAACCTTCGGTGAAATGAGGTGTACTACGAGGTGTTATTATTCATTCAAAATATTTCTCCTTTACAAATTATTACGCACAATTCATCATAACCAGCTTCTGTCGACCAAATTTAAAAGAACTTTGCGATACGTCAACTGATGACGTCAATCGTGCAGCGAAATTGCCAAATGATTGAACTGTTAACATAGAAGAGCTGGGGATGAGGTTGAGTTGTTTTGGGTTTTTAAAGCTCTTTTTTAAACTAGGAATCATGCTGGGTGTTATCCGGCTAAACCCTCTCCTCGATCTCCCTAATTCTTCAGAAGATACGAAAGTCGCATTCAATATTTGCAACTTATCAGCTCGTTTCAAGACTTCCTGTTTAATTTCGCCTATATGAGCCTCCCAGATATAAGCAGACCAGGCTGAAAGGTTTTACAAAATTGTATAAAAATGCCAGGGTTAAACAAGCAAGCATTTTTGATTGAGGGACGGGGCATAAAAATTGTGATATTTAAGCTTCGCCAGAGTTTAACAAAATGATTTGCTTAGATGCCGAGCCTCTATCCTAGCGTGACGAATTAACTTCAGAGAAAGCATCAGTTTGATAGTCCTATCATTTCCGAAACGGTTGTTTGAAGCATTGTAAAACATAATTTTCTAATTTCTAGACATTTCGAGTCTGCTTTAACTGAGATTGCTATCAACGTGATTATGTTTAAAACACTGAATTGCATGATAAACCTGGTTTTATAGCCGGCCTCAATAAGAAGACTGTCTTTCTTACCTTCACTCGGTTTACTGAGACTGTAGATAATAAATAGTAGAAGCCCGAGAAGATCTTTTGATTCCTGTTTTCGCATGTTCATTCTCTCTCTAGAAAACGGACAGAACAAGTATTTCGCGAATTCTCCACTAAAATATCTGTTAATATGTCGTGTCAACATGAAACGATGTGCTGTACATCAAGAACAGGGAAAAAACCCATCGGCTTTGATGTCACGTGTTTGATCGTTCTGGAATGTACCCACATGCAAGTGAAAAACCCTAATCAGGGAGCTTAGCGACACACCCAAGAACGTCACTTTTAAAGTGAATTCGAGGCTTTTCAAACGCTAAGGCTGTTATTCCAGTCCTCTTAAAATGTCAAACGTATTGATACAGCTTAAGTCAAAAGGTGTTTTCCCTTCGAATATAAATAGACGTGATAAAGCTCGATGGTTTTTTATAGGACCCAGTCACGGCATACACCAATCATCATGGCTAATTATAATGCGTGATGTCTTGTTCCGTCTCGTCAATTTCCTTTCTTTCCGAGCCCGCTCTTTGCGTTAATTGAAATTCTTGTAAAGGGGAATTAACGAAGTAATTCTTCTTTCATTTTGAGTCCATTTCCCATAATACTGAATGGTGTGATCTATTTTTCGAAATTCTATCTAATTGATCGATTTTGTATTTTTGATCGAAATTTCACTGAGTTCCAAGCGAAAATGAACGATGACGAGATCGATATAAAAAATATATATATTTTCCTGAAAATTTGCAGTAGTACCGATCGCTACTAAATATGGACTTTTTGATCCATTTTACCTGGCGACGTCTTGGACGACAATGTGAAAAAAGGGCTTGGGATAGGCGAAAATTTACGGAGCTTTTAGCGCGATCAAGCAATGCTTTTGGCGACGAATTTCGACAGTTAGTACGTTTACAAATGCTTTGGGTGCCATTTGGATTAATATCACCTAGCTACTGAATTAAACATGAATGCTGCCAGCCAGTGCCATGAATTGCGTCTCATTTTAGCTTTTCAACTTTCTACCCTAAAAAGCCAGGCGGTTTCACTGAAATCTATATGTTCTTGGTGTCAGAACTTGAAACTAAATAGAAATAATAGAAAAGTCCCTGAAATAACAGTTTTCGTAGCGTTATGTTGCTCCGTAATGAACAAGCAATGACAGCTAGAGTGTAGAATTTAAGTATGCAGGCATAACAAACCTGGTGGAGTTGACAAATAAATTTGTAGCAAGAGAAGATGTAGTAAATTATGTATGTCCCGACATCTTCGGCACATAACCGGACTAATTTCCTCAGACATCACAGAAAAGACTTCTCTTTTAAGTTTTTTTTCTTTAACCGAACATTACTTCGCAAAACTCAGTTTTCATTCAAAATGCCGGCATAATTTTAATCAAATACAAAATGCTTGTAATTTTTCGTGAAATACTATATGAGTTGCGATCATGAAGCGAAATGTTTTTTTTTGCCGGGAAACTGATATTTTCTGCCCTTTCAAAAGCTTTCTAAATTCCGCTATAAATATCTGCTGAGGTATGATTTTAATGTAAACAAGGCACGCTCTCATGAATCATGAACTATGAACTATAAAACTGAATGTATTATGGATTACGGGTAAACTTAACTCCGCGAATTAACTTACCAGAAACCTGCAGGAGGGCGGATGGTGAAGGCAAACCCAAAAGGACGAATAGATTGCGTAGTGGGATGGTTTTCAACGCTAAAATTAAGAAAGTGTGAAAAATCTGCTGACTAAGCACCGACTAATCACTTTCTATATTGCTGCAAATTTCTGCTGAGAGATGCTTTTTTACCAGTTCGTGTGTGATATAACCCACAATGAATCAGTATGACTGACGATGAACGCAAACATAGAAGGACAAATAAATTGTGCAGTGATGAACCTTCGTGTATGTTTTCCAATGCTTAGGAGTAACTATTAGAAAAGGGTGAAAAATCTGCTAGCAAAACAGAGACATTTCACATGTGCTCATCATGATTTGTAATGAAGACGTGACTCACTTAGATCAAGAAAAGTTGAGAAATTAAAGTTCATTGAAAGTAAAAATCCGATTTAGAAAAAAAGGAAACCTTTATGCAGACCGTCCATCTTAGTCTGCTCGCGTGACTCCGCATCTTAGTTAGGTCACGTGACTCGCTTTAAATTTACTCTAGACAATGGACTATAAACCACTGCAAAGAAAACCACAAATTTACACTTAACTTTAGGGGAGAACCATATGACCATAAACACGTGACCGCCATGAGTTGGCACTTGAGCCTACGATACGATTTTGTGACTCTGGTCAGTGGATATTCTGTTTTGACAGCTAGCAATTGACTATAATGATATGGATGTTAAACACAGGCTACAGGCAATTTACACTAGCTAAAAAGGTTGACATTTCACATTGGCTGCCGTGTGGTGAGAATGGATAGACGGATGTCGATGTCGTGATTACCAAAATTTCTCGGATGGATAAAAATTACCCGGTGGGGAAGGGGGGGGGGGGGTGTGTCCCCTTTTGTAAGTTATATAGGCGGGTGGCGCCCCCCCGGGGTTCGGTTTTGGCCCCTTTTTGGCTGGAAACCGGGGGACACTTTTGCCATGGTTGTTCCGGGGGGGGGTTTTGGGGGGGAGTGCGGGG